TCTATGATTCTATGATTCTATGATAATTAGCAAGCCAAGAAAATCTAGTCAAAATACCCAAAGGAAAAAATAAGATCGCTAAAAATAAGTAATTTGTGAACCAAATACTGTTTGTGGTATGACAGAAGTGGTTATGCAACTATAAACAAAATTATTAACATGAGAGGCCTACATATAAAGGGAAGTTATGGTAACTTTTAAACATGTGGTGTCCACACACTTCTTCCTGTGCAATTTGAACACTGGCTGGGTAACAGAGCGTTTATGTAACTGGTAGTTCAGAGGCTGCATTCCAAATTACAGACTGGACTTGACATAAATCCATTCTAATGAACTCGGTAAACGTGGAGCTATAGGCATCTGTGCTAAAAATGACTGCAAATGGCAGGGGAAAACTGTCTTGCTCCAGGGTATCAACATTCACATTAATGCCGATTTCAGCAACCAGCTGATGCGTATTAGAGAGGGGTTAGCCAAGGCATTAATCTGAATCTCTTTGTCCTTTAGTGAAAGGAAATCTGGCATCAAACTTTACGGGTTCTGCCCATCTCTATTACATGTTCTGAAACCAGAAGGAAATACTGGTTTGCTTCATAGTAATAACAAATGGAGAAAATATAGAAGAATTGTTATTAACTAGAGGAAATGCAGGGCATGGCTCAGAACTGTATAGTTCCTATTACCATGCTGCAACCATGAGGTGTCTGCTCAATAGACAGCAAGGTCAAAAATGATTGCAGTGTAATCATTTATGCAGTAATGTGCAGTGATGTGGCACCACCTGATATACTGACCAGAAGAAAGGCATTGCTAAACATCCAATTTACATGGATAAATTCTTATATGCATCTAATACCTTGGCAATTTGTGTCCCTGTGGCTAAGTTATAGACCCAGATCAGAAAAGTGATAAATAGCAAGATCTTGACTAAGTCACAAAGATGTGGAGATCTTTCTTGCCTCAATTTCACTGAAGTAAATAAGACTCAGTCACCCTGAAAACAATGTCTTTCATGCCTATTAAGTGGGAAAAATGTGTTATTAAGAAAGCAGAAGAAAGCAAGGGAAACCTGGAGAAGGAGAAAACACCAGGACAAAAAAGAGGAAAAAGAATAAAAAACCCTGTTAGGAGAAATATTAGTTACAAGGGTAGACTGAGAGATTTGCTTTTGGCATCTCCAGTCTCAAAATCTTGTATTTCTCTTGTAGTACAAGGAGGGTTAACACCTGAAAAATTGACACTGAAACAGCATTTGTATCCAATCAACATGGACAAGTGTTAGTGGTTTAATTTCTGAGATGTTTAAAATCTGCTTTATGAAAATTCATGTTTTCAATGTTTTGCCATTCTCACCATCTTCACCAGAAGATTTTGAAGTGTTTTGCCAGTGTTAACAACAAATGTGGAGGAGGAAAGTATTATTTCTGGTTTTGAGTGCAAAACTGGCAGAGGAAAGCTAAAAATCACTTGGCAAACAAGTTAGGAACAACAGACAAAAGCATATGTTAAACATCGCCTAACCTACTGTCCAACTCAGTGCTGAAGCCAGTAAAGCATTTTTGACAATGGAAATTGCAGTAATTGATTCAGTCACATGGATCTTACTTCCTCTAGATAATTCATGATCATGAATGCCATTACCACATTGCTTCAACACAGCTATGAAGGTAAGATGAATAAAACCAGAGGAAATATGCACTAAGATTCCTCATGTCACTTTCACATTCTATCCAGACTTTTATTCTGTCACCACTCAGTGCCTTCTGAATATGAAATATCCCCAGTAAGAAAAGGCAAAGTTTCTGTACCAAGTTCTCAATAAAAGCCTGGGATGTCTGGTGTAAAATTACGCATCCCTACCCAGACTCACAATGAACACTCAGATGCCTGCCTCCAGCTGTATCTTGCTGTGACACTCACCTCTGTTTTAGCAGCTCTTTATTGTTCTCAATGGTTATATTGTCACCATGGTCCCGCTTGAAAACTTCAAAAGCTTCCTGACATCCAAGTGACATCTTTCCTCCTGCCCCAAGGGAAAAAAAAGGGAACTACCTCAGAATCATCAAAAGACAGCCATTTTGCATTTATTTAACCCCTATTTAGACAAATATAGCAAGCCAGCCCAGGGGTCTTAAAGCACCCAGAGGACTAAGTTCAGTGTTCCACCAACAGGAAAGCATTTTTGACAAAAGGTTTCTATTATCTGACAAATTAATTTCACTTCACTTCTCTAAACTCTGAATGTTTGAGCTGCATAATTTCTCAAGACAGCTTAAAATGTTCATACGTAAAACAAACTCTAAAAATTTAAAATATGTGAAGTATTCCTAAGAGTGAGTCAGAGGTATTTTCACAACAGCAAACTGCGATTTGCTTCTGTATTTCTTTCATCCCTGTTGCATAATGGCACCTAAACATACCTTAAATCTTTTCAGTATTCTTGGAAGAAAAAAATTGAGGCTTCTTTTAATTATGTATTAGTGAATGTTTTTCATCCCCTTTTAAGTGAAGCAGGTATTCTCCCTACAAAAATGGTTGGTTTCCTGCCTTTTACATTTTCAACATGGTGTTTGTTTCCTTTTGTGCACCAGAAAGTCAAGATCTACTTGGCCTTCAAAACTTCTTAAAAATCAACATGGAAAAGTATTACTGTCTGTATTATTTCTCATTTCTCATTGCTAACTGATCTGCAGGTCCAAGTGAAAAATCATGCATCTGTATTATCATTAACAAAAAAATTCAAAGGCTTAAGGAGAATGAAAGATTACACCAGCATCTGTGTTATCATGAGTACATGTGTGTCAATAAATAAGCAAGGAGAGAGGATGAGACTTGCACTTAAATATATTGCAGTAATGAAGATAGTTCAGGAGCAGAAAGGGGAGGAAACTCACACTCAAACTGTGTGAAAAATGCAAAATAACTCCACCTCTAATTCAACCTCATAGTTGCAACTTAAACCTGAAAATGATATTCCTTAAATTGGAATTTGATTCTCCTTAGTTTTTTTTTCCTCTGGACTCTTTCTTTTATCCTACTCACAAGCCTGCCTTCCTGCTTCAGAGCTATCGAGACCCCCAAATCCATTGTGCACAAGAGCCATAAAGTTTCCTGGGAGTTCTGCTGGAAAGAGTTTTCTGTACGTTTTATGCCAATGGACCAGCATTACCAATAACATATGTAAGCATGTATGCCAATTATTTTCTGGGCTACCTGCTTTGCAATTTTGTTGTAAGTAGGGATGATACATTAACAAAACAAATCTAAACAGGTTGGGATATGCAATATTGGGATGCTACACCTTACTGAGGTCTAGCTCCGTAAGCTGCATTTGGTAGTCACTCCATATACGTTCTGTTGTCCCCCATCATATTTATAATATCAGGATTATTCCCCACTGCATTCAGTGAGATTTCCGTGGTGTAAGATACTGTTTAGAGTAAAGGCTGGTAACAAAACTAGCACTCCGGGTTCAATAATCAGTAAAAGTTAAAAAAACTTCATTCAAAATATAGTAGAAAAATTTGCCCTCTGTTTCAGTGAAAAGAATCAGCACATCTGTTGCTAATTTAAAAATTTTGAGTTGAAAATAGAACCACCAGGAATGTTTGAATGGCAAAGCATGCAGAAATGCTCCACCCTTTTTGAATAAGAAAATCAAAGAAAGATACAGTGCAGTTTTTACTGCTGTGTGATCCAAAGGAGCAAGAGGATTTAGGAAAATATATTTTTCTGTCATGATGACCTGAGAATATAATGTTCATGTTTCATGCTTGCCTTGAAGAAAAACAGGCAGCTTTGCAAGCAGAATTTTATAGCGCATTCATCCTACCACTAGCACTAATTTTAATATGCAGCCTGAATTGACCCTCTAGAATTGCTTTTGTTGCAGAAAAAGTTTGTATTAAGTGCAGAAAGCCTGGAGGAAACTCATGGCTGAGCCTAAAATAAGCAATGAAATGCCCTGACTCATACGTAACACTGCAATGTAAAGTATTTAACCCTTCTGGCAATGTGCTGCCTTTGAGAGTAGAAGTAAAAACAATCGAAGTAAGTTTGGAAAACAAAACTATTACAGTGATTATTGCTTCTGCCTGGCAGAAATGCATCAACCAAAATTAAAGGTAGTCTGATAATCATTTTCCAGTGCTACATTAAGAGGCAGCAGGTTTGTACAGTCAAACAAAGCACGCAAAAGTAGATCCCCAGAACTCTTGGGAAGGGGAAATTTTCTGGTTTATACAGTCCATTTCAAGAAAATACAGAAATATACGAAGTAGTAAACAATCACATTCTGAAAATGGTATCTGAGGAAGTCCTAAAAAAGGACCATTAAGATTGTACCTCAGCACAATATGAGCATAAAACAGCTACAGAAGAGCGTTGCAGCCTGTGAGTAACGACAGAGACGTTTAGAATGACAATGAGGGAATATAGCAATGTTAATACTAGTAAAAGACTGCAAGAAACATTGGAAGCTTGATGGAGTGGTTGTGTTTTCAATCTGCTCAGTAATGAAGATTATTCATTCTCCACGACTGACATTGCATCTTCAATCATGCTGTTTACATTTCCTTAAATAATCAATAATTTCATAAAGTAGCTTCATCTTCTTTCAAATGGCCTCCAAGTGCAAAGGTGCACTAACATTATTGCCATGCTGTTTCTCCTGGGCCTAATCCAAACAAATAAGCTATATATTCTTTTAAAACAAGGTCCTATTGAATTTCTGTTTTTCTCTAGCTTCAAATTGAAACCTATGAATAGCAATATATACATGATAAGAACAAATGCAGAATTGAGAGAAGAAACCATTGACGATAACACATTTTTGGCAAGGTAGCAAAACAGTTCAGCTAAAACTGTTAGACTTGTAGAAAACAATTTCTTTTACTCTTAAAGGCCAAACAATTTCTCCTCTCCTTTAATATCGTGGCATAGTGTTACAAAATAAATATTTGAAAACTCTTATCTAAGGAAGAATCATCATATCCTACAGAATGAGAAACAGGAAACACATGTCATCAAGTCATTACAATGTGAACTGGAATAATCATTACCATAAAAATAGTTCAGATCGGAAAAAGCATAAAATTTTCTTGCTATTACATTCATGAAACTGCAGTTGACAGGGTTGCATTAAAAAGTGATAGATTTTGTATCATCTTAATCTTAATTATACCTTTCCTGTTGGTTGTGTAAATTGGCTTTAGTATTCAAATACTCCCAAATATGCCCAACTCACAATGTGAAATTTACAGCAAACCCATAATTATTTACAGCAAATTCAAACAGCTGAACTTTTGGGAAAATTCAGATTTGATCCACATCCTGAATTTGAATGTTTAAGAATGGTCTCATTGAACATTTGATTTCAGTCTGTACTCCTATCCAGTGCACTCCACCAATTTTCACATTAAACAAAAAGCTGCAGTTCAATAAGCTGCTCTCATAAACTGTGCAAACTACAGCTGCCCCACTGAACCTGGGTGAGTCAGAAAGCAGAATGACAATGACGGCTCACAAACTCTGAACTACAGCAACAACTTCTGAAATGACCAAGAAACAGAGTGCTTGCTGTAGTATTGATAATGGACTAAATTCTTGAAATCAGTAATAATTCAAAAAACACTGAGGAAAAATGTAATAAGGCTTTTGGATGTGGCTGCTTTACTTTTTGAGATGACATGAAAAAATCAAAGCGATTTAAAGACTCAGTTGTACACCTACAGCAGGTAGAAGCCTGCATACCAGCAAAGCCCCTGGCAGACATTATGCACCCTATTCTATCAGCTAATTTAAAGATCATTTATTCTATGCTGTTACATTTACAAGTGCCATTTACAGCCATCCTAAACAACTGTTTAGTGCCTCACAAACTTTAGTTAGGAAAATAAGTTAAAGGAACATGTGAGGCGTAGTGTGGCACTGGATGCTCAACTGTCAGCAGAGAAATTATAGAGCGGAATGCTATTTTTAAGTTAAATAGTATCCACTGGGATTACTCAAGGACTATATCTGAGTAGGTAAGAGCAATTAAGTGTATAAACTTAGACCTTATTTTGTTGCCACAAGGGACCAAACATTGTTGTACATATTTAAATGACCATACAGATTTTTAAATGTATCCAATACCCACAAATCCTATTGCAGCTTGCTTTAGTGATCCCAGTTTATAAATACTGGACAATTTTTGAGGACTTTATTTTCGTGCTTTTTCATAAAGATTTCAAGAGTGCTGAAACTGGAAATAGCACTTCCAGAGCGCTGAGTCTGGCCACCTTCTTCTCTCTCTGGATTGTCTGTTGAAAAAGGGTTTATTGCTCAGAGGGAGCATACCTTCATAAAGTTTAATGCATGAAACCCATGGAAAACATTTTCATTGCTCTTCAGTTAAGTCCGGAAAAAAATCCGCCAAACAATAGCATGAAATTGATATCTTCTCTGTCAGAAAGCAGAATCACAGTGTCTCCTCACAGCCCCACCTTGTAACCAGATTTTGGTCCTGGTATGAGAGCTCCAAGGGGATTCCAGCAGCCTTCATGCCAGAGGCTGCCAGTTTAACCTGCAAAAAGAATTGGAAACAACTCTCCAGGAGTGAAGAATTAAGGTTGCAAGTTGAGCTGTTCTGAGGGAGGAACATTAAGACTGTTAACAAAAGCAAACTCTTGGGAATAGCTGTTCAGACCATGTATTATGATGAGAAAGGCATCTGTCCACATATCTGCCCACATATCTGTTTTGCAGAAACTACATTTTGTCAGTAAAAGACATTGTCTTTCCATTCCTATTAAGGGCTCTATTGGACAAGAATTGTCAACTCTTCCACTGAAATCAATAGGAGCAAAAAGTCTCCTTGGCTCATGGAAAGCTCTCATTCAAGTGAGGGTTGTCTGAAGAATTTCAGGATGGCAGCTACTGTGAACTGCGAGTCTTCATGCTTACAAAGACTGCCAACCTGTTTGTGCTATTCTGTATTTCCACTTATTATCAAATATGAACAAAGGAACTGTGGACACTTCC